TTTAATTATTATGTAATAGAAAGCAAGACATCATTTCTTTGAATAACAAAAAAGCACACATTTTTTCAGAGAACACTGGCACAATGATATCACCCTCCAAGGCTACTGCGGCTAGAATCAGTGGAAGCAGGTTTAAATTTCAACATTAGGACTTGGAAATTAATTTCCTGAGTACAGGTATTCCCCACTTTTTGAAAGTTCGCATTACACCACTTCGCTTTTATAAAAGACCTACGTACCTAGTACTGTTTTCGATAACCAAAAGATATCCAAGGAGGATTTTTGTTTCTAACAATCAGCCAGTGTTCTGTTTGCAGCAATCCTTTTGAGAGGCAGTGTGCACACCACCCAGTGAGAGTGGCACCACCAAGCTGCTTCCCCAGGAACTACACTCAGCATCTCAGCATTAAGTTGCTACAGCTTTGAACAGTATTCAGTAAGTCCCAATAAGTAAGCTCCTTGACACAGTGATGTTAACAGGAAAAGTTTCATTCACAGAGTTCTGCATTTAGAACTTTCTCTGAATCAGGTCTATCAACCAGAACAACACAGTCCACCTCTGGGGTTATTTGGAAGTGTGGAGGGTGGCATTTTGAAACTGTCATGATGACTCTGGGGGAGTGCAAACGGGAAGGATACTCATGGTAATTAGCAGCCAGGCCCAAAATGCTCAATAAATGACGGTCACATGCCACATACGCTATAGCACCCCATCTACCCGCTCTTCCAAGTCCACCAAAAAATTCGTATAAATGCTCCCCATTCTACTCCCTCCTAAAGGAAGTCAAGCCAGACAATTACGTTTCATCTTCAATGTCCAGGGCTCAGTATGGAGACCAGGTGTACAACGTGAAATCTACTGACAGGCAGCTTAGTTACTAGCACTCTAGCCAGATGCTATCTTCTTGCCTCCTTTTTTCCATTATCATAATCAAGTACAGTATTTTCAAAGTTCTGTGCTCACAGTTTTCTCCATCATGGTATTTCACCTTTGCTCCAACACCAAAGCTAGCAGATATGAGAAAAGTTCTGCCCTCTAGTAAGGTATGCCAGAACAAAAATTTGCAGGTATCCCAGGAATCTTGAATCCATAGATGCAAGGAAGAAGATACATATGCAATATTTTGTATGTAACAGCATGTGTGCATCTTAATGGGGATAAGGTCCAGTTTTCTTAAGGTTCTCAAAAGAGTCTATGACCTGAAAACATTAAAATAACTGCTCTATTGAACACTATCCCAAAAAACTTTGATAATTCCTGTGCTCAAAAATCGCTGATGGTTTCCCAATTATCTGCTTTCAACTCTCAACATGTTAGCCAAAGCCCTCCGTAATATAGCCATTATCCCAGCTATCAGGAATTTAAACCTATTCTGTCAATTTTCTTCATGTACCATTAATTTTAACAAGACAGACTACTTCCTTCAAACATGTTTTCTTTTCTCAAAGCTCTGATCACAATTTCCTCTTCAGAAACAATTTTCCTATATCCTCAAACCATCAAAATTCTAATCATTCTTCAAGGTCCAGTTTAAATGCCACACCTATAAAACATTCTCCTGTCTACTCAGCTCCAATTAACCTTAATAGCAGCTGTGCTTCCATAGTATTTTGTAGTTTTAATCTAGCACTTGTTACACTCTACCTGGATTTATGGTTTTAGTATTGTAATGTCTTTGTTACCCTATTAGAATGTAACTAAAGGGCAGGAACCATGTCTTATGCCTCATTGACATCACCAGTAAATGGCACAGTACCTTACATAATGTAGGTGCTTAATACAAACATGTACTAAATTAAATACAATTTGAAGGGAAATTTGACTATAATTAAGCAATGCTGAAAGCTACATAGAGCAAAATACCTAGGAAAAAATATGGCAATTACATCTCCTAAAACTTACAAAATGGCCATTCTAGCCCAGTTATATACAAATTCATACCTATAAATTCTTTCATACAAAAGAGAAAGAAAACTTAGTTTTAGAAAGTTTGTATGAATAAACACCCTTAAAACAAATGAATGTAAGAAGTATTCTGAAAACTTAAGCATCATACAATTACAGATTTTAATTAATCATGATTACTATAGTCCACTATCCTTGAACATAGTATATTTCAACTACCAGACTGTTTCTATTCTTTAGCAGAGCTTACTAAAGTTTTCTAAGGGTTAAAATGAATTAATTTGAAACAACTAATAACTATATTAAAATAATTTAGGGACCATTAAATAACTATGTCCAGGTTAAATTACATCCTAAAAATAATAAAAATTTATAAAGGGAATCAACTCTGTGAAGTTTCACATTTTATGATTTTGTCTTTTATATTAAACCAAGTACACCAGATGAATGAGAATTTAAAAATTTAGACTTACATAGATTCTTTTGTCTCTCTTGGTTTAAATTTCCAACTATTCTATTCTTAGCAAATTTTTTTTACAAGATTCAGGGAGTAAGAGGACTTAGCCAATTGAGAAAAGATATTTTATATAGCTGACCCTTGAACAATGTGGGTTTGAACTGTACAGACCCACTTATATGCAGATTTTCTTCTATACTGGAAAAAGTTTTGGAAATTTCCTTATTACCCTGAAGCAATCACATCAATTACACTAGGTTACCATAAAGCCATCATATTGCTGCTTCCTCGTTTACAATGCATAAATTGTTATATCTGTAAATAATATGAATTTATTTTTCACATTATCTTTTCATTTTTGATGTCTAGTGTTAGTAATACACAAGACATCCAGTGTTTTGTATCATATAAGACAACATTGATGTTTGTACTGACAGGCAATTCATCTTGTAAACAGATGACGTAAATGGTAAACATAGTTTTCTCTTCCTTATGATTTTCTGTCTTTACTCTAGCTTTATTGTAAGAATACAGTATATAATACATATAATGTACATAACATATGTTAATCAACTCTTTATATTATCAATATGGCTTCCAGTCAGCAGTAGGATATTATTAAGGTTTGGAGGGAGTCAAAAGTTATACTCAGATTTTCGACTACAGGGGGGTTGATGCCCCTAATCCCTGCATTGTTCAGGGGTTAAGTATTGCGCATATAGTAATATACAATAGATCATGGTGAAATGCCAACTATTTTCCCAGTCAATTTGTGCTTGCCTAGTTTGACTAGCATCAAGGCTCTACAGCAAAGAGTTCTAGGCAGATGGGCGGGAAATAATGAGTGAAATAGAAATCTCCAGGTCAATTTTACATGCTAAACAATTGCTTTTATTTTGTATGGCTTGTGGCCTTCCTATAGGAAAGATGTGCTAGTGAAAAATATGTTCATGGATTAGTCAATTTCTATTCTTGGACCCAAGGCCATTTCCTGCTAATTATTGAAGAGTAAAAATTAGAAATACTTTGTGTTTACATATTTCTGTTATACAAAGGCTTTTTATATATCAAGTTATGCAAAAACGTAAATTAGGACTCTTCAGTTTAAAAATACACAAACACTTGTTAGCTGGAATACTCAAAAAAAGCAGTTTACAAAAATAAGCAGTAAGAGTAGTACAAAAAGCAGGTAAAATGCTAAATAAAATGTCTTACAATTAATAAGCCATGTTACAATTGATATACATTTCAATAAAACAGACTGAGCTATATGAAAACTAGTATATGTTCTTTGCATGCCTTTTGTATATGTATAATATTTTATCTTTCTCTAAAAAGCTAATTAAAGGTGGGAAATAGGCCAAAGAATTTGGGAATCAAAATTATCTCTTTTTAATCAAGAATGCTAACACATATACAAAAGAATGATGCAATAGGAAGTAAAGTATGGTAGACTGGTAATAAAGAAATTTAAATTCTAGGCCCTAGCACAAAAGAGCTACGTAAACTTTAGCAAATATTTTCTTTACCTTTCTGAGTCTCAGGCTCCTTATCTCACCTATACATAACAAAAGTGAGAGTGTTGATTTTATATTCTATTCTAGAAATTTATTTGGTCCACATAAGCACAGATTTTTACCTAAGCATAATCTGTATATTAATGCTGGTTGAAAAGGAGAATTACAAAGCATTAGACACTGAAAATTCAAATATAAAAATTTAAGTTCTATATGAACAAATACACTTAAAAAATAACCAGGTATTTTGAAATTTAAGGACAGGCAAACAAGGAGTAAAGAATAGTTAAGTGTTAATAAAAGCATAATCACACAGCAGAAAACCACATGGCTACATAAACGCCCAGTTTTGGCCTCAAAAATATTATAAATTAATGATCTATTTTAGAATGTTGATAATTAGTGTAATCCTGCATGAACATTAGGAACATGATATAATATAAAATTAATACCTAATTACTAACTGATTCTGAAACTATGCCCACTTTACTCTGAAAAAGCCAAAGTCAAGTTATTTTTATAAAGAAGCAAATCTATAACTTATGGAAGTGTTCAAAGGCAGCTTCCTAAACTGAAAGTATACAACTGTAAAACGTCTGAAGATTGTAGGGGAGCCAAAGGACATTTCTACTTATGTTCTTTATGAGATTTATTTGGCAAAAAAGAACTAATAAAAGTGTCATGTAACTATATCTTCAGATTTCTTTTTTAAATCAAGGATACAATTGAAGAGGAGAGAGAGGAGTCCTCAGAACTTAGGGCTGCCCAAAGAACAAACGCCTTACACAGAATTCAATATTCAGAGAAGGAAATCCCTTATTGCTCAAACAATTTGTGAGTAGATGACTTTGGTCATGGACCTCTAATTCATCCACCAAAAGAGTCAATGAATTTTAATAGGACTGTACTGAGGTTCTTTCTTAAACAATATGGAAAATGGGGTAACCGTCCATTTGCTAAGACCACAATATAAACTTTGTCAAACCTAAAGTGATTATAATAGATCAAACCAATTTGATTATATAAAATGAAACCTTACTCCTGAAAATTACGAAGCACAAAATATCAATTAAGATCTTCAAATAGGCCATCAAATTTGTTTTTTAAAAAAATATCTTACTGTAATGAAGTCATCCCTTTTAACCATTCTTCCTTGGTAAAAAATCCCATGCTTTCAGCCTCCAATTTCCACGCTAAAACTAACATAATAATCTGGAAAGAACAGAACATAAAGGATAGGGGAAAAGTCAGCATAGAGATAATAATGTCTATATTTATCATGGAGAGCATTTTTATACAACTATTTCCATCTTTCAAATATTAAAGAGTACAACCTTTGGAATTATTAACTATAAAGAAATTTAGGTGGGCCAATTTCTTAAAAGTAAAAAGTTCTAACAGTTCTGAAGGTAGAATCTCTCTCTCTCTATTACAAATGACATTTGTATCAAGAAAGAGAACAGGTGCCCAATTTAAATTGATTAAAAATACCCTAAATGGACATTTATAATAAACATGAACAAAATCTTCATATAAGATTGAAGTGTCCCAATTTTTAGAAATTTATGAATATGCTATACCCCACTTGTATTCCATTTTACTTAGAAATAAAACATACATTTTCAGGTTCAACACCAATGTCTTCACAAAATTTTTCCATTCCTTCTGGCCCTACAACTTCATCAGGACCTTCAAAGACAAAAATAATTTATATAATTTATTGTTATAATTTAATATCAACATAAAACATAAGCCATTGAGCTAAAGGCATCTATGAATACACCATAACATTTTTTGCAAATAGATGAATTTTAACTTTGACATATCTTTGATAAAGCATAAACATCTGCTATGGAATTTAAAATTTTTGGAATGTTCTTTAAACACATTATATAATGAAACTAAGACAATAAAAAATGAAGCAACATTAATATAATCACTAGTTTGTACAATAACAAAAAAAAAGCATTTACTGAAAGCCTTCTCCAAAGAAAATGTTTTGGCAATGCATGAATATAAAGCATAAGGTTTGAGCTTCTTGCTCTACTAGTATGTGCCAGTACCAACCCACAATTTAAGGCAATAATCAGAGGAGAATATCTGTTTAGCTACTAAAACAGAAGGTCGTTTATTACCCTTTGGAAATATACTGAAATAAAATTTAATACTTTAAAAAGATATATTGTTAAAATGATGACTTAAGAAAATTACTACATTCCAATTCCAGAATGAGGTATTTTCCTTATCATCTTGGTTCTCAAATAGATAGTAAAGCATTAATTATGTTGTCTTAATGTAGAAACAAAAGTTTAATCCTTCAATTAGCTTGTCTGTCATTTATCCAAATATTAACATTAAACTTATTACTTTTCCCCCTCAGTAACACTAAACTAAGTCAACACACCAATTCTCATACTTTTTATGTTATCACAGTCTCAAAATATAGTACTTTATTGTTAGGTCTTTTTTGTGACTAGATAAGATTAAAACAAATTTGTTACAACATGGACGAACCATGAGTGCATTATGTTAAGTAAATAAGTCAGACAAAAAAAGAACAAAACAAAAAAACCAACTCATAAATACAGAGAACACATTGGTGGTTGCCAGGAGTGGGGTTGGAGTGTGGGTAAAATGGGTGAAGGAGGTCAAAGGTGCAAACTTTAGTTATAAAATAGTACCGGGCTGTGATGTACAGCACAGTGACAATTTAATATTACTGTATTGTATATTTGAAAGTCACTGAAAGTGTAGATTTTAAAAGTTCTCATCACATAAAAACTTTTTTTGTAACTATGTATGGTGATAGATGTTAATTAGACTTATTTTGGTGATCATCTTGCAATATAAACATGTATCAAATTATGATGTTGTATACCTGAAACTAGTATGTTATATCTCAATTTTGAAAAAGACTAAAACAATATGAAACATGATAGAAATATGCTTACCACACAAACTTGGGTTTTGAAAATATAGTCTTGAAATATTATTGTTAAAGTAGCCAGGAGGAACTTGTTTCCCTTTTTTAATAACTAAAAATACTCCAGATTTATAAATCATAGACTAAAATGCTCAGGTAACATTTCATATCATATCATTAGTTCACAAGTGCAACATGAAGCCAATGTCCTTAGGTTTTTCTGAATAGAAGAATGTAGCCACCTAGTATGTGGCCATTACATACTTGCTGTTTCAGATGAGATATAGGCTGCTAAAATGACGTGGTCTGAACCAAAATCCTTTTTAAATATTTTAGTTAAATAAGTACTGCACTTATTTATGCAGTGAGATGTTAAAAGGTGAAGGGGAGGGGTGCAACATTTATAGGAAACTTTCACTTCCTAATATATACTTGGAAGATTTTTTTTTAAATGACAATGTGTTAATTATGTAATTTAAAAAGCACACATATACAATAAATATGTTAAGAAATAAAGCTGACTATGCATCCTTATATTGTATGTGGTTTGGGTTAAAGTAAACATCAGATGAAAAATTTAATACAAGAAAAGAAAGAATTTTTTTAAGGCATGATAAGAATATATTCTAAATTTTCATATGCAACAAGAAAGATGACTTGCTCTTGAAGCTGCCATCAAGAAATATCAGTTACTGTTAAAAAATACAGCATCCCTAGAAACTGTGGGATTAGTAATTAAAATTAGATTAGAATCAAGTTAAATTGTTATATAAAGATACATATAAGACCTTTCTGTAAATGTTAAGTGACTCTCCCAAAGCAATGTAAATAGTAACAGATCTAAATCGAAAACAAGGTCTATACCAATCTTCTTTTCCCAGATTGCAAAATGTTAATTATTCTTCTTGAAATACGCTTCCAGTAAAACTACTTCCAGAGTAAAATCTCTGGAGCTGAGTTTAACTAACTCTTTCAGACAAAAAACAGGTTTCCAATCAATTTATGAAGCTATGGAAATAAGTTCACTCTACCAGCTGGATACTGAATCAGAACTATGAACTACATAATTCTATCCCTTATTTTTGATTCTCTATAAGACTTTAAAAGTGCCTTTTCACTACCTATGTTTTTGTTTGGTAATATAATAGGCCCAGTATATTACTGAGTCGTTACTAATTTAAATATCAGTCAAGATGAGAGGTCTTGTGAAAGAGCAAAACTATCAGGCTTATCACACATGATCTATATTATATTAACAAGATTAGTGGTGAAACAATTTAAAACTAAAAAAATAATCAGTTTTCTGATTTTTTTAAATAACCATAATGTTCCTGCCTATATTTGCAGAGCCTAAAACCATGTCAGCCATAGCAGGTGCTCAGGAACAAAACTGTGCTCAATGAATGACACAGCACCTTCAACCTGAGCTACACAGGAGCTATACTGTTTATTTTGGAACAGTATTGCAAACATATACAACCAGTAAATCTGATGCTGTAATACTATTACTCTTTTAATAACAGTTAACATTTATTGGGTTCTAATTATATACCAGGTACTGTGCTAAGTGCTTTAAGTGTGTTATCTCAATAGACACAATTATTATCTCCATTTTAATAAGGAGCATCCCCATTTTAAGATGGAACAGTTACTGTTTATTTGGCAAATAAATGGTTCCTCCTTATCAATTAGGTCTTTGCCCTTAGTAACCTCTAGAAAGGTCTTTCCTAATCACTCTATTTGAAAGTCCATCCAAACTTTCTACTTTCTATCCCTGCACCTCACCTTATTTACTACTTTCATAATGGTTCACAATCTGTAATTATCTTGCCTACTCACCTATTTACTGTATATCTTCTCCACAGAAGGCAAGTCCCCCAAATGCAGGGATCTATCTTAACATGTTTACTACTATATTCCCAGCACTTAGCACAGCTCAATAAATATTTATTGAATGAATCATTCAATGAATGACAGAAGATAAGTCAACCTCAAGTGCACTTACTAATATTTTCTTTGCAAAAGGAAACTTAGTTGCCGTATACATATTTTTTTTTTTTTAAATAAACATTACAAGATAGTAGCAGTTAAAAGCATGGGCTCTACAGTCAGAATGACCTAGGTTAGAATCCTGGCTCTTGTCATTATATGATCTTAAGTAAATTACTTGATCTAACTGTCAGTTTTCTCATCTATAAAACAGGGATAACACTGCTTACTTAACAGAACAGTCATAAGGAAAAATTTTATAATTAGCATAATTTTTGCAATAAAGATAGCAATTATTATACTGGCTATTACAAAAATGTTAGTATAGGAAATAAATGTTTAACTAATTAGAATCTCATGCTACCCAGGAAAGTCTCTAGGAGAGGTGAAACAAATAAGCATGAAAGAAAAAAAAAAAAAGACTAATTTTATGGTATCTAGTAACCTTTATAAGTAAAATAAGATGAGTGACCTTTTGATTGTAGATCATGCAAATCAGTAAAACTCGCATTTTGAATAATGGGTCAACATTTTAAATGGAGGTCAGTTAAGAAAATGAATTACCTTCATTTAATTTAGGTTAGTGGTTGTCTTGGGATGCTAGTAATAGCAGTGTTTCTGGTCTAGAAAGAATCTGTTCTGTTACTAAACAATTTTTAAATTATACTTTTGGGATCACTCAGCTGATTCCAGCAGTGAAGTTATTGCTCCTGCCCCACCCCCCAAATAGTCCTAATACAGTTAGCCTAAACTTATTTCTCAAGTACAGAATACACTTGAGGCCTTAACTTGATTAGCACTACATATAGACAATGACTGCATGTATCCTGTTTTATTTTAAACAAACACTGAGAACGATAGTGATAAAAGAGGGGAAGAAAAGAAAAAAACAGGGAGGCATGTAAGAGAAAGGAAACAAGGGGAAAAAAAAAGAGCTTTAAAATCAGTAATTCCAAAAGACCAAAACCACTCTAATGGAAAAAAGTTTTTTTCATACATGCTTATAAAATAGTAATAAGTGGGAAACAAGTGTTCTTTCTTCATATATTTGCTTAACTCTTCAGCTTCATCCCTAGCTTTGACTTTCAACCTACACTTAGGCCTAGAGCTTTACATCTACCACTTACAGGATTTAGCTTAAGTTGGCTCCTTCAAGAAGCCTTCTCTGACATTTCACGACTGGTTCCATATTCTTCCTATGAAATTTCACAGCATATCTTCCTAATACAGCATTTATCACTATATTTATATCAGTGTTTATTTTCTTCTCAAAGAAGTAAATAGGTAAATAGCAATTTTTAAAGGGTAAATGTATTGTGCAATTATATATCTGAGTTCTAAATCTTTTACTGTCTTCCAAAAGTTTCAGAGAATGTCACTTTCTGGTTCAGAAAAAAATTCAAAAAAAAAAAAAGGTCAGTTTCTTGTTCAGAAAAAATTCAAAAAAATATGGAAAAGAAAAATAAGAACTATATATATAGTAAAACATGTTTTATCACATACTTTGTGTTTTCCAGAAGACCAACTCTACTTTAGTCAATGGATATAACCAATAAGTGAATCTGCCTGTTTACAAATTGTATTAATAGTAAATGAGTTTCACTCCTCCCACTAAACATATATTGAATTACATATTTAAAGATATAGGATGAAACAGAACCAAATTCTTAGCCTACCCACAATCCCCAATACACAGCACTCACACACAGAAAGCCTGGAATAAATAATTTGTTAAATAAATGAACCAAAAGGAGAACCCCCAAAACAATCAAACAAAATACGTTTTAAAGCATGTGATTGATATCTTCTTATATTAATTTCATTACCTGCATACTCATAAAACCAAGCCAGGCACTTCTTGCTTGAAAAATGTTCCTCTCCACTTATTAGTCTAGCAGAGGGTTGGGATCTGCAATAGCTTAGAAAACACACAAATGCCTAAGAATGTTATCATCTCAATTTTTAGTGAAATGCTAAGTTCAGTATAAACTTCTTCAAATCAAACTAAAGTTTTGGTTTTTTTTTTACAGCTGGTGTTATAAGAAAATATTAGAATTGTTAATTTGATACAGTAGTTTATACATTAAATTTTCTGGCTAACAAAACTCAAATGTTACTTTGTTCACTATCAAATTCTAAAAATATCAACTAAAATTATTTCCCCAGATTTCAAAAGTTCAATCTAATGGTCTCAATGCAGGACTGGTAGTTGGAAAAGCATAAAACTTTATAGTGATTCTTAATCTGAACTGCATGGACATTATATTTGTGTATAATAGATATACACCTGAAAACAGAATCTTACAAAGCATACTTTGATACTTAATTTAACAATTGTCAAAATAACAAAGTTTAAGTTGATACAGGATCACCTGAATTCTAATGACTGCTCAGCCATTTTAATGTGCTTAATTTAAATAATTTTTAAATATATACTTAAGGTGGCTACAAGTTAGAGTAATAAAAAACTAATCTGCATGTTTCATAAAAATTGGAGCTAGTGGAGTAACCATGTCAAATTCTAGTGTGAGTTACCAAGAGGTATAAGAAAACAGCATCATCTTTCACAGTTAATAGCCCAAGCAATATGTTTAGGCTCTTATTTCCCAAAAAACGTAATGAAGAAAAAAAAATTCAACGAATTACAAAAAGGAAGATGCAGACTAAATAAGTCACCTACCTCACATTTTAAGCAGATCTCTTTCAGGAGAGTTCTATAATTAAAGCTGGCTACAGTCTTTTAATGGTATCATCTGAAGTTGTCACATGAAGTGCCAATCACTGATTCAAAAACACCCAATAAGGGGATTTTAAAAATCCACTTCTCACACCTAAATTGCAATACTTCTTTGCAGCATACAATGTTGCTGTGATACCTCAATGCCATGATAAATGGGATCAAAGAGCTGTATCTACAATTCTGCTTTGTTTTCTTTTTCTCCAAGGCGACACAGGGCACAATAGCTCTCAAATTATTAATATTTATATAAAGGGCTAACAGCATCCTGAATGCTAGAAAACAAAACGCATGCAGGGCCTTTCCAATTCGGCACATAGGGACCTTGGCGAAGGTGGAGGCACTACACTTGCAGAAAATGGGGCTCCTACGATTTAAAAGGCCTCCTGCTGGGATCCTCCGGGTTAGACCACTCCACATACTAAATTTGGAGGCCAATTACAGCATGCGGAGCTTTTCTTTCTGTCATTCCCATGGGCAGCTGCCAGGTCAAGATTTCTCATGCTCTGCTTCTTCCTTCACACCCTACAAAGAAATTCTAAAAGTGACCCTTCCGCGTAGCTGTACTTTCTTCTAGGTGTGGAAAGACGACGGGGGCCGGGTTAAAGGAGTAGGGGGTGCAGGGGCAACAGCGCAATTTACGTACGCATTCCTATTTCCCCACCCTGCAGGGCACGCAGACTCCAACGTGAGGCTCCTCTCCCAGTCGCTGCACAGGCGCCCGAGCACACACAACGAGCACGAGGTGGAGTCGGGCGCAGAGACTCGCGGTGCTCTGTGCTTACCACCTAGGTTTACGGGGGGCGGGGGTCACCTCTCCCCAGCCCGAGCCTCCGAGACCCGGCGCGCCTCCCTCTCCTCCTGCCGTCCCGCCAAGGAGGAAAGATAGAAGGGTGGGGGAGAGGTGGTACCTGGAGATTTTACACTTTTTGAGGCCTCCGTCTTCCGCCACTGCCGCTGCCACCCCAGAGGATTTTCTCTTCTTCTTCACCGGCATCTTCCGCCCTCCCTGGTAGGGCGGGCAGGGGAGCCGGGGAAGGGGGTCGCTGTCCACTGAAGGCTCCTCAGTGCTGGCACCCGGTTCCCAGAGACAGCAGCAAGCGTAGCAGCAGAGTCGCCAACCCGCACCAGAGCGGCCCAGCCTGGCCGCCGGCCGCTCCCAGGTCTCTTCCTCGTCTCTCTGCGCTCGGGGAAGGGGGACCACTCCTTGCCGGTGGCCACTGCGGCTTGGTCACACCGGGAAGAGAGAACGCGGACAGCTCACCACCTCCACCAGTCACAGACTCCAGGAGCAAGAGGCTCAGCCCGACCCGGATGCGAAGCGCCCAGGGCCGGAAGTGACGCAAACGCAGAGCCGGTCTCCGGGAGAGGGGTGGGTCTGGTTGCTAGCGGCAAACCGTCTCCCCTACTGAACGACGCGGTGTAGCCCCCGCGAGTGGAGAAGTCGGGTTTTGTTGGCGGATGACGGCCTTTGGTTGTTCAGGGTATCCTGACCTTCCTCACGAAACTTCCTTCCCTCCCAAATACTGGTAAGTCACCTCCAAGGTATGTTTTATGAAACCACTAATACTTTGCAATTGGCCTTAAAAATAACCGGGTAAAGCAAACCGACTTTAGCTTCTGAGCTCTTCCATTCAGTAACCTCACGTTAATTATTACCCATTCCTTAAATGCATGTTTCCTTTATGGGCTGGCAATCAGCCGCGGACTCTCCCATCCCTTCTCCGTCACCCCAGTTTATCACTTTTTCTCTTATTAAAACTTAGCTTCCCTGTTTCTGTTTCACAGAACTTACCTCTCAGAAAAGCGACAGTAGGTGATCGGTGACCTAGTGAAGACTTTGAGGGACATTTCAAGGGGCCTTCCCCCAGACCTTATTATTCAAAACACTTGTATAATCACTCCACCTACACTTCAGTGAAAATATTGTTTATAAATAAGGTTGTTGTATGGGTTTTGGTGAGATGACCTCCACCTTGGAACCCTCATCTGGCCAATCAAATTATCATATTTCTGTAGTGCCATTAATTGGTTCAGAATGGACATACATACAAGCCAGGCCAATCGATACCAGTGACATGAAAATGAACCAGGAGGCAACTTTATTTCCTATGGACCTGAACCTGAGAGGATGTGGAGAATGACTCCAAAACTCAGAAGAGACCAGAATCAAGCAGAAAGACAGAAAAAACAAAACATGATTTTATGGTATGTGCCCTGAGTCCATGAAGTGCCCTAGAAATTTCAGTTACATGAGGCACTAAATTTCACTATTTTGCTCATGCAGTTCTCTGGTTTTAAAACCAAAAGAATGTTGTTCTTGAATGCTGTAAATCTTCAACTCAATTAAAAACGCATGAGGCCAAAACATCAAATCTGAATAACATCAAGTCTCTAAAAAAAAATACCATCTATAAGTAAGAGCACAGAGGAACATGTTAATACTGAATGCAATCAACAGGATCTAAACTGACAGAAAAATCTACAGGAAAAATGGCCCAGATTCTGCAACAAATTATTAGAAAGAAGGAAATGTTAAAGGAGCACTTTCCATGACTCTTTGAAATTGAGTCAAACAATTTGAACAATATTATAACATTTATGAGACAATTGGAAATTTGAACACTAGCTGAATATTTGATGAAATTCTAGAACAAGCAAAACTATGTAGGACAGCATATCACTGATGCTGGGGACTGGGATGGGGTGGTAATGGAGGGAGAAGACTGAAGTGGCACAAGGGCGCTTTTTGGGTAATAGACATATTCTATATCTTGATTGAGGTGGTGGTGTATATACTTGTCAAAGCTCGTAAAGTACAATCCCCCCTGCCAAAAAAACAACAACGTACGCATACAAAACAATGACAGTCTTATTTTTTCAAGAAGTGAATTACAAAACTAAACATCCCTTTTCCCAAACAGAACAAAGGAAATGGAATAAACATCTAAACGATGAAAGCAAAGACCCTAGAGAACAATGTTCAAAGGATATCCTTCTGGAGAGCAGAATCAAGGCTGAATCGCAGGGTAAGGAACCTTCATAATGCCTGTGTGGCAGGCAGGATACACAGCATTGCTATGGCCCAGTGACTATTGCACATCTTTTCTAAATAGGAATACTTATTGTGGTTATCGTGACTCTGCTCCATTGTTTATTGTATGAGAGAGGAGAGCAGATAATTGTCTCTTAGTTCATAGACCACTGGACCATGAAGAACCACTTCTAGACCTAAGGAAGAAGACACACCATACCTGGAGATTCTGGGGATTCGGCTCAATTCAATGACTGGACAGGAGCCTACTGGCATCTATATAATTCTCTGAAAAAAGGATAAGAGGTTGAATCTGTGTATGGTATTCATTCATTCATTCATTCTGTTATTCAAACAATATTTAATGATTACTTAAACCAGGAACTGTCCTGGGTTTAGGGATATAAAAGGCAGGTGTGACTCCTGCATTCATAAAGTTTAGAGTCTGGAGGGGGAAATACATGCAGTCTATTTGCATTTAAGTGTACTTTATGAACAAATAATAGGGTCAATAATGTGTGCTTGTTACTCCTAATAAAGGGATGGTGATTTTCAGGGTTATGTAGATCATTTTCTTTAGTGCCTTCTCTGATCAGTACCTACTGCCACCACCATACCTCCATTCTCAAAGTGGAGCAGTCCATTATCCCAATTATTCTCACAGAAGGGGCATATTGATAAACATCACTGCCTGTGAGCAGTATAGAAATGGTTTTAATTTTCCCTGCTGCTTATCCATTGCTAGTACATTATTTTCCATCGATAGTAAGTCGATAGTATGTTATTTTCCATCAAGAAGGCACCTATAATGGAGGAACAAACTATGGCAGAACACTGTGATTCTTTGTTATGTAGGCACATTTTTTAAATGAAAATAATGAGAAGGAAAGGGAAAGAAAGCATTTAAGCAGAGACTTTTCTGTTCTGGTTTCAGATCCAAAGAAGATACTCAGTGACTTTATAAGACACATATTTCCTTCATCCTTCATTTATCCATCTGTTACAGAGAAGGATGTAGGAAAAACAAATATTCCTTTCTGATGGCAGTGGACATATATTTGTATCAAATAGGGTAGAAGGCAGAAGGAATGAGACTGAGCCACATATTGGGTTGTTTGAAAAGTCATGACGCATTTTTGCAATGAAAATCATAGAAAAAATACGTCATGACTTTTCTGACAACTCAATAGTTCTGTTAGCTATTTGAGGTGATGGCTGTACATGCATAGCTTAGCTTTTGGGGGGTTATAGAATGAAGCTATGAAAAAAATCTTAAAATAGTTGTATCTGTATCAAAATGGTGCCCTAAAATGTGTTAATTTATGTATTTTAAACATAGTTTATATTTTCTTAACACCTCTTTAAAACAGGGCATTTCCACTTGCCAGGAAAACAAGCAACAAAGAAATTAAGTGATTTATTGGATGCCACATGTTACTGTAGTCCTGAATCCATACAAATACTTTCCTTTCCATACATTAACATTGATTTTCCAAGCAACCCTGTAGGTCAAAATTTTGTAAAATATTTCTGTACACACAAACACTGAGAGAAGACTCTCAGAGGAGAGAACAGTAGAAATGGGGTGCTAAAACAGGACTTTCTGTTTTGGAGCACCAGTAAAGCCCACAGGAATGTCTAGTGTGTTAGAGAAGCCCAACAGTGCAGGACTATGTAACATGCCATGTACCCCTTACATCCTAAAGCAGTGTGCTAGGGCATATCAACTGTAGCCTGACTATGGCTGTGATTCACTCTGGGACCCAGACTGAGGGAGTAGCCACTCTCTGGAACACTGCTTGTGACAAAGGGAAAGGCAAACATGGTGAATCCTGTGCTGGCTGTTAAAGGTTCTGCCCTGAAGTGGCACATTGCTTCTGTTTAAGTCATACACCTAAGGCTACACCTGACTTCATCAGGACAGGAATGTATAATCTGCACAGAGGGGCACCAAGTAAAGGTAAATACAGTCCACTATAGTAGGAAATTGGAGTGAATTTTATTCAAGATCCAGGGAAAAATGAGTTCACCGAGCAGTTTTAAAGGGGCAGTAGGGAAAATCATAAGATTGATTTCTTATACCTCACACTGACCGATAGTATTTTCCAAAAAGGGTCGCAATGGTATCTTTCAACCCACGTACTAGAACCTTGCCACTCATTCTTCACCATCACCAACATCATCAATATTGGTTCATTAATTTGTGAGAAATGTGCCATAGTAACGTAAGATGTTAATAATGGAAAACAGGGTGTGGGATATGTGGGAACTTTCTGTACTATCATTGCAACTTTTCTGTAAATCTAAAACTCTTCTAAAATAAAATGTTAATTTTTAAAAAGTCAGTGAAAAGAAATGAAAAATTTAAAGGTAGTAGAGTGCAAAAAGAAAGAGTAATAACTCAAGAGAACCACTTCAGTTGGGTGCCTTTGGAAAGGTAAGAATTCATTAAATTCTGGATGTGCGGTCATAGGTAGAAAGCATTGTCTCGTATATCAAGGGGCCAAAAACAGAGCCCTTTCAACTTGAAACTTAACCAGGAGGACAAAGAATTAGTGCTCAGGAAGGAAATTGTGTTAAGCTGGACACATGATTTGCCTTCCAATATGTGAATATGTACCCCAAATAAAGAAAAGTAGTTCACAGAATCAAATTACTACTGGCAGAGAGTGCAGTGTTTTGATGACCTGCTACAGCGAACTCTCTTTTTGGCTGAGTGGTAAAGAAGTCCAAAAGTGAATGTAGGGAGTTTGTGTTTAGGTGCGTTCTTATAAACATTTTTATAGTCTTAAGCTTAGATGGGTGGTGTTTTTGTCACACTTCTCCAACTTAATATTGGAAAGATGGCATAGTGGACGTGGTTTCTTAAAATGTGAACACCCATTAGACTGATGGATTTGCCTTTTTAAATTTTGCAACCTTGGATAAAACATTTAATCATGTGACTCAGTTTTATCATCCTTATAACAAAATAAAACATGCCTTATCTAGACATCACAGCATTGTATTGAAAAAATAAATGTGCATGTGCTATTAAAACTTCTAAGAGTACATAATTATGTACCAGTTTGAGTCCTTGGGGTACACCCAACAAAAATCGAGTTCTAAGTCTAGAAAGGGGATTTATTTAGGGTAGTCCACAGAATCAAAGGAAAGATTACAAAGGAGACAGGTAAAAGAGGTGAGTTGCCTTATTTTCCATCTCCACCCAAATTCTGGTAATGGGGCTTTCCCTCCCATATCACTATAACCTTCTTTTGTCAACGACCCTGTCTATATTTTCAGGGATCTTAACGAAGTTCTCAGGCATTGAAAATAGGGTTTTCTACACACGGCAGTTTGAATGGGACTCAGCGAATTCTTAGGCCATGATTAGGCCTTCGGAAAAGCCATAGGTGACATATGGGCAGTTACTGAACTCCCTCACTATTCAGCACAAAGCAGATTAGTTCACATGAATGCAGCAGAGTCAGCAGAGGCAATGACTCCTACAAAGGCAGTAAATGATCTGCAAATAGTCTCATTTACTTGGCACCCACACTGCTCTGGTCACTGGCCATGACGATGTTGGTGTTTCTTGATGCTGAGTCTGCTCTCTCCATGTATTCTTTGCAGATCTTCCCCTTCATCTCTAGCTTCACAGAGATCTCTGCCAAGCTTGAGCCCTATTCAACTCTTGAACTGTTCTCTTAGCCACAACGACTTTCAATTGTTATGGCATAAACTCTGCTCTGCTTCTTTCAGGGCTTGTACTTATAATTTGCAAGAGCCTCCTTGTCTCTAGAGAAAACGTGGCTCATGAGAATCAAAGGTTTTGGCTTTCTATTGCATTTTAATATTGTGCTGTTTCAAAGTATATTTTTAAAGTAAAAAAAAAACTAAACTGTTTTACATTTCTTATTTTACAGTCATAATTCTCCTTGAGGCAATGAAAATTGTAAGGGTATGAGCAAAAAAGTGCAGAAAAGAAAAGCGCACAAAATTTTTTTGAAGATATTTTCTCTCTATGGGCTAAACAACCGGAAAATTATCAGACAACATTCACTGAACTCTTAACACATTCTATATGCAGCTAAATTTTCCATCTGCACATCCTTCTGGTATAACCTACACGTAGGACCAACTACATGATTTATGGGGCCCAGAGCAAAATGAAAATGCAGAGTCCCTTGTTCAAAAATTATTTAATACTCTGTGACAACAGACCATTAAGCCCAATGCAGGGCCCTTCTAAGCATGAGGCCCTGTTCAGCTGCACAGATTGCATGCTTGTGAAGCCAGCCCTGCGCACACCTTAAAAGCAAATCAAGGCCTGAGTGACCTATGCATTCATTCAGCGGAGCTCCAGATTTCTATGTCAGAGTGCTATGTGTTCCAAAAGTCATTCTTATTTCAGAGACACAATAAGATTACATTTCCAGACCTCTCTTGCACTCAGGAATTGCTATGAAAAGCCCCTGTGTAAAGGCTCACTCTTTACCTGCCAATCAACCAGATTCAAATAACTCAGCAGAGAATTCTATCATCTTAAGGGATATTGGAGCCATAAAATGGAGTAAGTTTTGATTCCGGAATCATCACCTGGGATACTGCCTGCCAAATACTACATTGAACTGTTAAATAAAGGAGAAATAAAATTCTGTTTTGTAAAGCCACTGAAGTTTTGGGGTTGTTTATTTTAACGTTTTCATGATGTTCTTTTCTCTGCAACAGGCTGTGATATCAAAGGGTTATTTTATCGCAGAATTTCTCCAAAAAAAGATGCTAGGCTGTGAAGCAGAAAGCTCTAATTTAATTGCATGTTATTCAACAATTATGTAAATAAAAATGGATAGAAAATAAAAGACAACAGTTTATATGAAAGTATTCATTAATAGTTTTCACTTTACATCAGTAGTTATGTTTTTAGAAAATATTAAAAAGCATTTAGTTACAGGTCTAAGCAAGTCTGTTTCCTGCCAATAAAAAAAAAGGTAAGCTACACCATGCACACAGTAAAGAAAGCATCAAAGCATCTAAAAGAATAATCAGCATCACTATAGAGAAAAAGATTACCTATCAATATGTTTTGAAATTTTTTATACTAAGAATCTAGCATATTTCATTACAGTGAAATGCAAAATTGAAAGTATTGTCATTATCAAACAAATTACATACCGTATTTTGCCATGTATAATGCGTTCCCGTGTATAATACACACCCACGTTTTTGGCCCAAACTTGCAGGGGAAAAAACCTTTCATTTTAATTTTTCAATTCAAATTTGTATTTGTTTACATTTAGATACTTATTTTTTGTATTATAAAGGAATTTTAGCATTTAGTTTTTTAACATGGCACAAAAAATTTTATGTAACAAATAATTACAAAACACATGAACAGATATAAGTAACAAAAAATTTTATGTACCAGTAGCAAATTTACAATACCCATCACAGAAGGCCAAGAACTCTTCTTCGTTGCAAGTTTGTGGTAAGTTCAACAAAACTGATTATCGTATTCTAGGGTATTATTTTGCATACGGATATCATTATTGATTTCTAGAGTTATACTTTTAACTCATAAGCATAAATAAAAGAATTAAAAGCATTTATATAGATATGGAATTAGTACTACCCAGGTATAATGCACATCCTCATTTTTCCCTCACAAATTTGGGCAAAAGAAGTGACTGTTATACATGGCAAGATATGGTAATTTGGTATAGGTGCAATAGACTTTCTTAAGACAGCATTCTGTAAAGCATCTTTAGAAACCCATGCCTACAGGGCCTGGTAGTTTATGTAAATTAAGAAATGGCTAGGGTGAGCCGAGTGTCTCGGTTAAGAACGCAAGCTCTGAGCAACAGGGTCACCTGTTTGATTCCCACATGGGCCAGTGAGCTGCGCCCAAGCTGAGCTACTGCTGAGCTGCCAATAGGTGGCAGGATGGCTCAGCTGGTGAGAGCATGTGCTCCTAACAACAAGGTTGCTGGTTCGACTCCCACATGGGATGGTGGGCTAGGCCTACCCACAACTAAGGTTGAACACAGCACCTTGAGCTGAGCTGCCTCAAGCTGCCGACAGGAGGCCAGATGGCAACTGGACTTGGAGCTGAGCTAGCTGCGCCCTCCACAACTAAGATTGAAGGACAACAACTTAGCTGTTCTTCCCCAATTCCCCAACACTGTTCCCCTTCCTCAATTTCCCAACACTGTTCCCCTTCCCCAATCCCCAATAAAATCTTTTTTAAAAAACCCCAAATAGAAAGAAATGGCCTGGGTGTGAGATGCCTGGGTGAGTACATGCCCTATTTGTAGCAGTCTAGATGGGCTAGATTAGGTCAGAGCAAAAAAGAAACCAATATGTAGGTCAGTTATTGAAGACAACAAACATTTGTTTACTTGCTCACACTAAATGTTGGATAATCTCTGTTCGTCATTAGAGCAGCTGCTATCTAGAACATTATTGGTGACTATGGCAGAGGAAAAAGTAAAAGCATAGTTTATTTTGCTTAGTCCAAGCAGAATTTTTTTTCCTCTTAATTTGAAAAATGTTATAAAGTGTGGTAATTAGGACTGCTCTCAAATATTCTACAGTTCTCTTTTCTTTTGTGAACAAAGTACAGTTGCACTTACATGCCCACTTGCAGTTAGATGTGACAATATGGTTTTCTTTGCAAAAAAAAGGTAAATGAAACTGATGTGCAGAAATTTTAAGAGCCAGTATGTGTTCTGTCACATGGCTTGTTTTCCCTCAATACCAATAAGGTACATTATCAAAAAAAAAGGTGACTATTCAAGAGAACTCATATCAGGTAATTACAAACTAAGGCTCAAGAAGTAGAAACTATTTTACCAAGAAATATAAAACCACAAAACTTTATTTAACAATTTTACCAAGACTGGCATTCTCTTTATTTTAAAAGAGAGTGAATTCAGAGTACAATCAATCTCTGCCATACCTCCTGCAGTCCTTGCCATTAATATTACAATACATCTAAAATTAACATTGATATTTAATTTTTAAATACATAATGAAGCACCAGCATTCAAATAAATAGTATTTAACATCTGATAGATTAAAAATATTTGAATTATTTAATCATAGTGTCTGTATTTTCTCACAATGAAACAAAAAGTATTAACAGCAAGGAGCTCCACGCTTTGTTCTTATTCTCCTCCAATGTCTATTTCTGGTTCTCTTTGTTGTGGAAATTGGGGAAAGTCATCCACACATGATCACATTTCTGGCCTATTCCTCTACCTCCTCACCCATGCTGAGGATTAGTTGGGGGAGAGAGGTGGGTAGAAGTGCAGATGAAAAAATTGTGCTCAGCTGTATGCTATAAACCAACTCCCTTGCTTAC